CAGCTGGCCGTCCCTCCCGGCGCGTGTCTCCACAGCGTAGCGGAGGCTCGACATAGCCGAGGCGGGAGCTGAAAGGACCGAGCCATGTTTGGATCAGGCTGAGAGGGAAACGAAAGAGATTGTGCAGTAGGTACGTGGCCTTCTGCGTGAGGGGAGACTCATGCCACCCACAGCGGGTCGTGCTGCTGCTGCTCTGTGCCTAGCCCTCACAAGGTAGCAGGGGGGATTTTATCTGCCTTTCCAGCCCCCTCTGCGCCAACACCACTGCAGGGCCTCGCGTGATGATGAGCCGAAGCTCAAAGAGAAAAGTAATTTTCCAGACTTTTGGCCATTGAACTCACTGAGATCCCAGGAGGCTCCAGAGGATTCCTTTCCCAGCTCTTCCCAGAGGAGGCTTGACAGAATCCCATCCCACTCAACCTAGCTAGCTAGGCTACTTAGGTAAGGTTACTTAAGCTACTAAGGTGCGCTTAGCTAACTGGCTGCAACAGTAGTTGAGAAAATGCCGCTGCAGTTTAAATATGGATAATAATGGGAGTTAAGGTCTAACAAAGAGGTCGAGTTGAAAATATGCACTGATTTGACTTCCAACCTGTTTTAAATTGCCCCGTATGTCTTTCTCACTAGCACAGGTATACCAGCTTTGTACCGTGTGATAATACACTTAATAGCAACAACTTGTTTTTAATCAGTCACATAATAAATTATCAAAAAGGATCCAGAGAAGGCAATAATAAGGAAAACTGTTCTGGCAACACTTCCCCCTCCCCACAGTGACAGATGTTTCATAAGGAAACAACATCACCTGGGAGAATGCTGCAAAATTAGATTTTGTACAGAAAGGGTGCTCCTTGCCCTGGGTATGTGTTTTTACCTGCACCAGGGAAGTATAAAACAGAATGAAGAAAAGTCTAGCAAAAGCTGTGTATTTATTAGGTATTACATTGCTGGCTTGCCAAGGAAAAGTGGAGAGGGAAGAGTTCACCACCAAGTCATTCTCAGCAAAATGTTCTCAACAAGAGCAAAGAGATTTTGTGTCATCTTTGAAAGAAAATATTTGTGTTAAGTGGAAATCAATGGAGAGAAATTCCCGTGCCTGCTCTGTTAATGTATGTATTCCAATCTGCACAAGTCAGTCCTACAAATGCTGACAATCCTCCTTTAAGATACAGCTCCATGGCAAAGAATTAAGATTCCCTTTATTACCCCATCGTGAAAGGGCCCTGTCACCCTTCCTTGGAGCAGTATGGCCCTGCGTTTTCCCCTTGAGACCAATGTAATCAGGCTCCCTCTCCAACAGGTTTTCTGAGCCTTGTTCTGGAAGGCAAACGCTCAGACCGACTTAGTTCCTAACATTCAGACAGCTTTCACCTTCTCTTAGGCCTGCCTCGTTGGCTAGAAAAGCTTGCTCTTTTAGTCCTATAATGATCCTGCTGAGCTTATGCTCCATAGCACAGAGAGACTCCTTTTGGGTTCAATTTTCCTCGCACCTTCCCTTGGACTGTACACAAACTACACCAGGTGTAGCCTAAAGCCACCTTTTTGTACTCTGTTCATACACCCTTTCCTATAACTCTTTTTCTTTTCCTTTTCCCTCGTCTCCGCCCCCCCTTGTGTTAATACCAGAAACCTCATTTAGAAGCTCTTCTGTTAACAAACAAACCAGATTTCAGCATTTCATTTCAGCAGGTTTCATTCCTATTATAAATAAAGAAGGGCCAAGCATGGAGAAGGCCAGTCTTTGTCACCGTGGACTGCAGTGTTGTGTTATTCATTGCAAAAGCATCCAAGTGTATCAGGAACTTAACAAACAAAGGGGAATAAGCTCTCACCTAAGTACTGCAAATAATCAGGGCTTATGGTTAACACAGACATTTGTTTTGCATCTATCCATATTTTGTTACTATGATTGCTCATTACAAGTAATCAAACAGCATTAAATGTCTGAATGGTTAATCTCCATAATATAAACAAATCTTGAAGCTGTAAGCTATGGAAGTATGCCATTACATCTGCTGCAGATTTAGCTGGTTTTTGCATGCAAAGAAAGGCATGATGCAGGTAATTTTACAGATAACATTTGTCTTGAATATTTACCCACATGGAGAAGATAAATGTAGGATTTACAGAAACTTTCATTCTCTATGAGCATTATTGATCCTCTTGTCTGAAGCAATAACAGCGTGGACATCATACAAGTGATCCAGCAAATCACTAGTAATCGTATTACCCAGCTCCTTGCTCTGAATAAAATTGTATTTGGAGTAAAAAGGGTTGAGTTACAAAAGGTGACCTCATCTAAAACCTGCTGAAATCTTTGCTTCCCTGGGCTACAAATGATTGGTAGGTAGGGAAAAGTGTTGCTTACTTCTCAGGGCAGGCAACTAGTGTTCTGCCTTATCCTGCAACCTGCACGGCTGCTGCTGGCTCCTGCTGCTTCCTGCAGTCCACAAAGCAAAGCAATATGGGGCTCCTCTGACTCTCCCCACTGTCGTAAAGGACCCATTGTGTAAACGTGTTTTCTCTAGAACTGGAAAGAGAGGGTGTGCATGTCTAAGAAGGCAGTCCTGCCTTGGTTCTTAACAGAAGAGGTATAAAACAGCCTTTTGAAATGAACGTGGGGTTTTTTTCCTTAATTGACTTTCTTACTTTGTAGATTTGAGCAACTTCACTGCTGCCTTGCTTGCCAAAATAAATATATACACACATATCTTGTATTCTCCTGCATGACTTTTTTTCAGTTTTTAGTGATGATTTTCGATATCTTTTATCATCTACCTCCATATCCATTTCTGTTTCCATTGAAGTCTATGGAGTTTTGATATTTATGTCAATGGGACATAGGTCATACCATTACATAATCTTTGTAATACTTAACAAATTAATCTCTGTTCTAAATTTGAGACACTGTAGTGTGCTGTAAAATAAAGATTATTATTAGCCTGTACACACTTTTATAGATAATAATAAATTACAAGGCACTTTTCTGTTCCTCGGATTATGATTTGTGAACCTGATGTGTTTACAAATATAAAACAGGGTTTGAAAAAACCAAAATATTCTAACAAATAACTGACTATACAGAAACAGTGCATTTTTCATTATTAACTGAAAAAATTAAGCCTCCTACTAATTAAATGGCTAGAAATATTTTACTTCTGTATCTAGAATCCCAGTGAAACAACCCTTGCAACTTGAACACAGATCAAGTCTTGGGTTTGCCAGTAATTTGACTTCAAAGAAATTATATATTCTTTTGTCACAAACCTCCAGACTGATAAGCATGAAAAGTGGTGAAATATGAATTGTACCAGATTGCACTCTGTCAAAAACACTCATTTCTTCATGCCATCGTATGCTATTTTTTTTTTTGCCTAGATGATTCATCAGTATGACACTTCTCATTCAAAAAGGACAGTGAATTTTCTGCAGACTGAAAAATACTGCCAGTCATTTTGTGCACAGGTGGTAACCTTTTCTCTTACAAAACTAAAAGAAGCACTCTGTTTGTTTCCCTTTTAATAGCGAGCAATAAGATCCATGTATGGCTACTGTGAAAAAAATCCAACAACAAAGAATGTGCATACATAGTTTTGCATATGTTTTGTAAACTGAGCGTGGAGTTTGTAAAAACTGTGAACGGCACACATTTTGAACACTGATAAAGCAAATACTTATTGTGTAATTCTAAAACAGAAATCTTAAAACAAACTTTTTTTCCTTCCACATTGTCTAATTCAGGCAAAAGAAATAGATGACAAAACTACTAACAGAAAGAATCCCTTTCCTCCTCCTCTTTCACTCCCTTGACATTTTGAAAGACTTTGGAAGAGACAATTCCTTTCAGATCCGTGTTACCAGCTTTTAAACAGCCACTGCAACTAATGACTAGTAAACCTTATTAGCCTTGGATCCTTTGGTAGATACATTGGGGAGGCACTCACTTCTAATCCATGTTAGTACCACAGCTTTTAGGATCATTCTTCAAAGGAATGGAACAGCTTACCATCATCATTAGGTAATTTTAGGTTAAGCCAAAAATAAAGTAGCTATTAATATTGTCAAAGCAGTCTCTGAAACATAAATTTAGTTAGAGCACTTGCTGTTTATTGAGAACATATGTTTGGGGAGAGCACTGAGGCTAAATCCTCATCTTTAGGTTTACATGCTTTAATACATTTAGACAAAGAAACTGTAAATTCTCTTAGATAAGGGAAAACTCGACGCTAATTGGACTAGAATCTTAGTTAGTCGGTAACTAAGGATACAGCTCAAGGTTGGTCTTATCAGTGTATACCTATTTCTGGCTATCGTCTCATCTTCGTGCATGTGATGACAGGCAGCTTCCACAAAACAATATTTATTAGGAAAAGCATCAATATGTAAAATAGAGCTGCACACAGTTGCAAAGTATGTTGGAGTGGTTGAACAGAAAATAAATTATGTTAACCTAGTGTGTGGGCTAACTTCAAAATGTTTTGTCTCATACTGTGTGACTCTGCTGATAAACACTGCTGGCTGAAAATCTGTATTCTTATGGAGCCTTATGTCTCCATGGTTGGGTTCATGCACACCTCTGGATTTAGTGATCCCTGCTTAGTTTTATAACCCAGACCCATCTGTCAGTGATATTAACATACAGTGCAGAATTAACATGGAGACTAAATTTACGTCTTCTGGAAAAAGCAGCAACCTGCCCAGTGCAGGTTCTTATTCACCCAAACCAAGACTTTGTT